TTTAACAATCTAGGACAAGAGAGTTGTCAATAGCGGGACCCTAGTTATTCGAGCCCTGCTTTTCTTAACACTATCACATTAAATAAAAATGAGGCATAAATTAAAATTGAAAAAATTACAACATGTGAAAAATAATTAATCAACTTAAACTTGAACCACACAAGGGCAAAAATTAAACTTCAAATTTAAATCACATCTCAAACATAAAGATTAGCAAGAGCATCTCATAAATCATACTTCTTTAAACATTTTGGCTTGTCCACTAGCCTGTATTAGGTTAGTTTGATGACAAATTATGTGCATTTTTTTATTTTGCACTTACATGTTTGGTTTGAATGAGTTTGATGAATGTTTTTTTGCCATTTTAGATGGATATTTGGGATGGTTGTTGTTTATGTAAACTAGATGTTAAGGCAACGTTTATTTGATTAACATTATTTTCTACAAGTGGCGTGCCAATAAGTGATAAACAAAGAGGGCACGGGATAAATAAATTAAGACTAATCTTATTTTTTACCAGGTGTTTGCTAGTTTGTGCCCCAGATATAAATACGGCCGAGCAGGATATGGGCTTAGTGTGTAAGGGAGCTAAGTTCATATGATTTTCCTTTTTTTTTGTGATGTATTGCTTATGTTATATTTTGCCATCTTAACATCTATTTAGCAGATTTTTACATGACTTCCACTCTCATATGTATTTCATAGAACAATGTTAGGGCTCGTGGGTATGGACAAGCAAGGATGAGCCACCACTCGATGATGCCTCGCGATGCCTCGAGGACTTGAACAAAGATGATGATGAAAAGTGAAGTTGTTGGAGTACGGGAAAAACTCGCGGGCCACCATAATTCTAAGAATACTCCAACTTATGCAAGCTCATTAGTCCGATTCCCTTTTTTTTCTTTTCATGTGGGGTGTATAGTGATACCCGACCATATTGATTTTTTATTATTTATTTGAATTCGTTGCGCACATGCACATATTTTTTTATTGTGTGCACAATAGAAATTACTTTCTGTTCATATGTTTATTTTTGTGATTGTGTGCCTAGTTAGGACTAGATTCATTGGGTTCTTAGTCAGAAGGAGAATTCATTGGGTTCTTAGTTAGGACTAGAAGCATTATATTATACTTCCTTATTCATCTTATCAGGCCTTCACCTATTGCACAGAAAGGAGGAATCAGACATGTGAGAATCACCACCCTTATTAGGCGAATCTTGCTTGTCGTAGTACTTGGCCTGAATGACTTTTTTAACTTGCATCATATAAGGTCTACATACCCTCACAACAAACATTTCATTATCAGAGTCTCACTGATAAGAAAAAATTAATTGAATTTTCCTCAAATCAATCATATCTAATTAATCAAAAGTTTCATTTTTTGTTGGCTTTATCAAGCTAACATTATATTAAATTGATAAATAAAAATTGAAGTTTTAAAATGTAAAAAAATGTTTGCATTAATTAAGAGGATGTGTTTGTTGGGGTCCCTAAATCTTTAAAATTGAGCTCTAAGTCCTAACACAATCTTTTGATTACAACAACCTACGATTCTTTACGTGCATGTGGCTATCAACATGATTTTAAAGCACAAGAGGTGTTAGCTGACAACCTGCTCCAATGAAATGTTATAATTTTGGGTGTGTATATGGATGTTGTACCTTGGGAATGAATCCATAAGTCTCGCTTTAGTTTAGATTTTAAGACAGCCTTGCTGGCTTCGCCACAAGACAAGTCATCTCTCTTGGTTTTTTGATGGTCTTTTTGGTAGAATGTAAGTCCCAACCTTCTAAAAATTGCTGAACTCAAACAAGAATCATTATTTTATAAAGCCCAACTATATGATAGACTATAGTGGCCACCAGACCTCCTAATATTCAGAGCTCTCTGCTTTTAAGTAATTTTTTTCTTATAAAACTGTTCTAAATTTGAGTCAATCCCACTCGAAATTATAATTAATGGTCTTGAAACCCATCATTATGATTTGCAAAAATGAATAGTCATTATTTTAATCGAGATTTTTCCTTAAAAATAATATTTTTTAAGATGTAATTAACTAAAGAGACTTGCCTCTTTAGATATACAAAATCCCATAATTAAAATAAACCCTATCATTTTGGTAAAAGAAAAAAAAACTTATGGTTAGTAGCCTTCAAAAATGAATAGTCATTATTTTAATCGAGATTTTTAAATAATATTTTTTAAGATATAATTAACTAAAGAGACTTGCCTCTTTAGAGATACAAAACCCCATAATTAAAATAAACCCTATCATTCTGGTAAAAGAAAAAAAATTCTGGTTAGTAGCCTCGCATAGCAGTTAAATAACAAATTTGGAATTGGATTCATTGTATGACACTATTTTCATTATTCAGGGTGATATACTATATATGATGTCATTTTTTATCGCAAGTGAGAAAGTTCAAAACTCATGTGCGTGGCTCCCCTAAAAACAAATTTGGAATTGGATTCATTGTATGACACTATTCTCATTATTCATGGTGATATACTATATATGATGTCATTTTTTATCACAAATGAGAAAGTTCAAAACTCATGTGTGTGGTTCCCCTAAACACCAACAATTACAAAAATTTTTCCCCATTATATCATACATCATGGATTTGAAATGATTAAGTGGGTTTGCTCGATACCCTTTTTAAGTAGGGTCATAGTATGGAAGAGTCGACTTTGATTTCTATCATCAACAAGTTTTAAAAATTGAAGTTATCTTGCATTTTATTACAGTACGTTTGAGCTTATTATTACTTGTATTGGTATCAGTCATCTTTGTTTGAAATTTGAGGCATTTTTTCTATTTATTGTAAGATAGATTACCACTTCTTAAGCCTTCCACATTTTTACATTGTTGGAACATAAGTCATACTAATATAATAAAATAATAACTCTTAATAGACTAAAATCTTAATTTTCAATATGTGTAGCCCAACATAGGATAATTGGAGTACTACTGAACATTTTAGTATTTGAGCATTCCCTACTTCTCCTCCATTAGCATCCACAGAATTTAGTTACACTCCAATCATTCAAGATTGATTTTTAATTAAGCAACCTTGGTTTAAATGTATAAATTTTTAGATACATGACTGCATTACGAAAGTAGCATGTGGATCATTTCATTATATATGTGCTGTCAAATCTAAAATAAGCTTATTATCAATAATAAAAACTTATATCTTATGGATTTGAAAAATTTAAGTAAGTTAGATTGCTACCCTTTTTATGCATAATCCCAAGCAAAACAGAGTTGGGTTTGATTTCTACCATGAATAGCCTTAAAATTTAAAAATCATACTGCATTTTATCAGAGTGAGTTTGAGCTTATTACTCGTATTGGTATTTGTCATCTTTGTCTGAACTCTAACGCACTTTTTCTCTTTATTGCAACATAAATTATCACTTTTTAAGCTTCTCCATAATATCATATTGTTGGCATTACGAACGTAGCATGTGGATCATTTTATTATATATGTGCTGTCAAATCTAAAATAAGCTTATTATCAATAATAAAAACTTATATCTTATGGATTTGAAAAATTTAAGTAAGTTAGATTGCTACCATTTTTATGCATGATCCCAAGCAAAACAGAGTTGGGTTTGATTTCTACCATCAATAGCCTTAAAACCTAAAAATCATACTGCATTTTATCAGAGTGAGTTTTAGCTTATTACTCGTATTGGTATTTGTCATCTTTGTCTGAACTCTAACGCACTTTTTCTCTTTATTGCAACATAAATTATCACTTTTTAAGCTTCTCCATAATATCATATTGTTGGCATTACGAAAGTAGCATGTGGATCCTTTCATTATATATGTGCTGTCAAATCTGAAATAAGCTTATTATCACTAATAAAAGCTTATATCTTATGGATTTGAAAAATTTAAGTAGGTTAGATTGCTACCCTTTTATGCATGATCCCAAGCAAAACAGAGTTGGGTTTGATTTCTACCATCAATAGCCTTAAAACCTAAAAATCATACTGCATTTTATCAGAGCGAGTTTGAGCTTATTACTCGTATTGGTATTTGTCATCTTTGTCTGAACTCTAACGCACTTTTTCTCTTTATTGCAACATAAATTATCACTTTTTAAGCTTCTCCATAATATCATATTGTTGGAATATAAGTCATAATGATATAATAAAATAATAACTATTACTAAATTTAAATCTTAGTTTTTAATATGTAAAACCCAACGTAGGATGATTGGAGTGCTACTTAATATTTCAGTATCTGAGCATCCCCTACTTTTGTTCCATTGGCGCTCACAAAAAATTAGTTACAATTCAAATATTCATGATTGATTTTTAATTAAACAACAGTGGTCTAAATATGAATATGAGCTGTTATTTTAATCGACAACATTTCAAGGAGAATATTCTAAGGAATTAAATGTAAATACTTATTTTACAAAAAAAATATATCATTTGGATAGTTCTATTATATATGTATTGTCAAATCTAACATAAGATTATTATCAATGATAAAATTTATTGTTTAGTGCACTTTTGACATCATATATTATGGAAAAATAGAATTTAAAATGATATAATAGTAATATTTGGCCTAAAATATAAATAATTAATTTTAAATAAGAAATGACATAATAGTAATCATTTTATAAAATTTCATATAAAACCCCCATCTTGACTATTTAATTATTTCTTATAAAATAAAATTAATTTTGCTAAACTCTCAAAACATTACTCATATTTAATTAAGAAAAATTATCATAAATAAATACATTCTATCAATTCCACCTCAAAATATAAAAGGGCTATTTGCATATGTAGCTTATACAATACTATTATTTACATATGAAACTTACATATTATATATATGATACATGAGATATGCAAATATTAATAGTTAGAGGGCTAAAAATCCCAAAATAAAAAAATAATCATAGAATTTCCCCAAACCCATATAATGCCTCTCCCGCCATCACTAACATAACCTAGATCGCTTCAGGTTCACTGATGGCACCGGCTTGCGAGCTTCCCTGCGACGGCGATGGATTCTGCATGGTCTGCAAGAAAAAGACGCCGGAAGTGGAGGCGGTCACTTGCCGGACCTGCACGACTCCGTGGCACGTTCCATGCCTTTCATCGCCGCCGAAGACTCTTGCATCCATCTCAGAATGGCAGTGCCCTGACTGCTTTTTTCCTTCCGGTGGTGCTACTGCGGACCTTTTCGTCGGGGCCGGAGGGTCGGCCTGCGAACTCATTGCCTCCATCCGAGCGATTGAGGCGGACGAGTCGCTCACGGAGCAGGAGAAGGCGAGGAGGCGGCAGGAGTTGATGAGCGGTGTACATTTGAAGGAAGGAAGGGAGAGTGAGCGTGATAAAGATGGGAAAGATGGTGGCGATGATAGCAATGTGCTTGGTTTGTTGGATGAGAAGTTTAACTGCTCTTTCTGTATCTTCTTAAGCCTTCCACAT